AATTACTTGCTATGTCTTCCTTACAAAATAAAATATGATGGGGTATTACTTGCTATGTCTTCTTTACAAAATAAAACATGATGGGGGAATTACTTGCTATGTCTTCCTTACAAAATAAAACATGATGGGGTATTACTTGCTATGTCTTCCTTACAAAATAAAACATGATGGGGAATTACTTGCTATGTCTTCCTTACAAAATAAAACATGATGGGGTATTACTTGCTATGTCTTCTTTACAAAATAAAACATGATGGGGGAATTACTTGCTATGTCTTCCTTACAAAATAAAACATGATGGGGAATTACTTGCTATGTCTTCCTTACAAAATAAAATATGATGGGGAATAACTTTCTATGTCTTCCTTACAAAATAAAACATGATGGGGAATTACTTGTTTTTTTTTCAACCTGCAAAGATACTTTGAAAGTTGCTGAAAATCCCATTCTGATGAACCCCAGGGAAATTTTCACTTGCCATTTTGATTTTCCATGCTCAACAAAAATTTTTCTTTTGTGGAATTAAATTTGTGCTTTTAATATTCAAAGGAAGAATAGTCAATAGTCAGTATAGTCAATTACCAATCCTAATTGTTGTTTTCAAATTGACTTCCAGTGAGTGCTGTTCCATTTTATTATTAATACTATGGAGAATATACATTATATTGGTTTCCATGGAAACAAATAGTGCAAGGTGATCTTTGTATCTCTTGTTGCAAAACGTATATACTTTTTGTGATGTATTCATCTTATCCATGACTATAGACTTGCATACAGTCTCTTGTTTATTTATTTGTTTGTTTGTTTTTTCGATAAAATAAATGGTATTTGACTGTGTAAAAGGCGAAAGTCATGTTACTGCTAAAACCATGTTAATGCTAAATAGACAAGGGACTTGTGACCCATGTAGACTCCCTCTTGCAACACCGGTGATGATTGTCACCGGTCTGGGTTCAGTGCATGATGAGTGAATAAACAATCTCTGCAATCTCAGCGCCAATATGTTACTGACTGAATCAAGATCACAAAACTGTTTTTGGCTTCCTGTAATGAAGTGAAAGTCATAGTAGTGGCAAAATGTCCAGTGTCATCATCCAAAACCATTCTTGTGAGCTTGATAACTTCAATAATATTAAGCCGATCACTATCCAACTTATACATGTATATATGGTAAATCTGTAGATATAGTTTGCCTGTATAGATTTCAGAGTTGATCTTCCATAAATTGTTCTGGTTAGAACATGCAAATGCAAGTATTAGTACTGCCAAATATTTTGTGAGAAAACTTCCTGTGAGAAACACGTGTTCTTTGCTACATAACAAAAATATAACACTATTAGAACATTTTAAAATCAATAGCTCCTCAATACCCCTTATGATATCATAAAGGAAGAGAGGACATTAGGAGAATTGGAGTTTTTGTTACAAAATACCCTCTAAATGTGGCAGTTTTCCTACCAGACATGCAATTTTATTCACATCTTATAATGTCTGCTTCTATGTCATTAAGTGAAATTATGTGAACTTATCAAAAACACTATCTTCAAACATAATAAAATGTGTTGTAAGCAAACTTGTTAACCACCAACACTCAACTCATGATGAATTCTAATTATTCCAGGTACTTGGAACTCTATGAACGAATACATCATTTTGGGGAGGATGCTGAAGAAGTCCTTAACAGCCGTGGTTCTCGGCCATCAACTCCCATTGGTGGAATGTCAACCAATTATTTACAACAGCGACATGAAATACCTGGTGAGGAACAATACTGCTAGTATCTTGAGTTTGTAGCAAGTCAAATTGTTGTACTTACCCGCAGTATAAAAATATATATATATATATATATATATATATATTTTTATTATTTCTTTGTAAATTTTGAACCAGAACATTATCACCCCATTGGTGTGTCCTGTTCCACTGATGTCTTAAGCACCACTAATTAGATTTCAATGAAATATGGTACATAGGGTAATATAGAAAACGAATAAATTTTTAATTCATATTCCAACATTATAACTTAGAAATCTGTGGATATTAATTATATAATTTTGGTAATTTTCTAATATTTTAACCACCTATCAGATTTTAATCAAACTTGGTGCATAGTTGGGATTAACCACAGGACTGGCAAACCACAGATGTACATTTATTTCTTTGAGTTTTCTGTTAGTATTACATATTGTAAACTTCAATAATGTGGATCAGATGGCTTTCACATCGTTCATATCATTGGGCAGAGTTAAAGTAGCATTAGGATTAATCTTAAACTGCAAATTATTTAAAAATTGTTCCTATTTCTATTTCATCTGCCTTTCATTGTTGTGAATGAATGATGTCAAAAAATTAAACCGACTCCTGTGTTAGCCCAGAAACCTGCCTAAACTACTGGAAACTTTTCAGAATAATAGTTGACTGTACCTCCTACATATCTATTGTGTGTTACGGTACTATGAATAGATGTAACATATGGTTTATCGTTCCCTAAGCTCTGTGAATCTATTGTACTGTAACCTTGTGGTTAACCCTTAGCATCAGATGTTGCCTTACTTTGTCACCACTTCACATTTCATGAAATATGATGGTAGGGTTTTACTTTTAGTGCTAATGCTGGTTCATAAATAAAAATTGGTTGCAGTAGTTTCTTTGTTAGATTCTGAAGCTTAGCTTAAATTTTGAATTTGAGAAGGCACCCATTTTCAAGGTCAAAATTTATAAAATGACCTTAGCATATAGGAATAATATAGGGAATATCGTAGGGCACCAGAACAAACCTTAGCATATAGGAATAATATAGGGAATATCGTAGGGCACCAGCGCAAACCTTAGCATCTAGGAATAATATAGGGAATATCGTAGGGCACCAGAACAAACCTTAGCATATAGGAATAATATAGGGAATATCGTAGGACACCAGAACAAACCTTAGTATATAGGAATAATATAGGGAATATCGTAGGGCACCAGAGCAAACCTTAGCATATAGGAATAATATGGGGGGAATATCGTCGGACGCCAGAGCAAACCTTAGCATATAGGAATAATATAGGGGAAATCGTAGGACACCAGAGCAAACCTTAGCATATAGGAATAGTATAGGGAATATCGTAGGACACCAGAACAAACCTTAGCATATAGGAATAATATAGGGAATATCGTAGGACACCAGAGCAAACCTTAGCATATAGGAATAATATAGGGGAAATCGTAGGACACCAGAGCAAACCTTAGCATATAGGAATAATATAGGGGAAATCGTAGGACACCAGAGCAAACCTTAGCATATAGGAATAATATAGGGGAAATCGTAGGACACCAGAAGCAAACCTTAGCATATAGGAATAATATAGGGAATATCGTAGGACACCAGAACAAACCTTAGCATATAGGAATAATATAGGGAATATCGTAGGACACCAGAACAAACCTTAGCATATAGGAATAATATAGGGAATATCGTAGGACACCAGAACAAACCTTAGCATATAGGAATAATATAGGGAATATCGTAGGACACCAGAACAAACCTTAGCATATAGGAATAATATAGGGAATATTGTAGGACACCAGAACAAACCTTAGCATATAGGAATAATATAGGGAATATCGTAGGACACCAGAACAAACCTTAGCATATAGGAATAATATAGGGAATATCGTAGGGCACCAGCGCAAACCTTAGCATATAGGAATAATATAGGGAATATCGTAGGACACCAGAGCAAACCTTAGCATATAGGAATAATATAGGGAATATCGTAGGACACCAGAACAAACCTTAGCATATAGGAATAATATGGGGGAATATCGTCGGACGCCAATGCACACCTTAGCAGATAGGAATAATATAGAGAATATCGTAGGACACCAGAGCAAACCTTAGCATATAGGAATAATATAGGGAACATCATAGGACGCCAGAGCAAACCTTAGCATATAGGAATAATATAGGGACTATAGTAGGACACCAGAACAAACTTTAGCATATAGGGATAATATAGGGAATATTGTAGGACGCCAGAGCAAACCTTAGCATATAGGAATAATATAGGGGAAATCGTAGGACACCAGAACAAACCTTAGCATATAGGAATAATATAGGGAATATCGTAGGACACCAGAACAAACCTTAGCATATAGGAATAATATAGGGAATATCGTAGGGCACCAGAACAAACCTTAGCATATAGGAATAATATAGGGAATATCGTAGGACACCAGAACAAACCTTAGCATATAGGAATAATATAGGGAATATCGTAGGGCACCAGAACAAACCTTAGCATATAGGAATAATATAGGGAATATCGTAGGGCACCAGAGCAAACCTTAGCATATAGGAATAGTATAGGGAATATCGTAGGACACCAGAACAAACCTTAGCATATAGGAATAATATAGGGAATATCGTAGGACACCAGAGCAAACCTTAGCATATAGAAATAATATAGGGAACATCATAGGACGCCAGAGCAAACCTTAGCATATAGGAATAATATAGGGACTATAGTAGGACACCAGAGCAAACCTTAGCATATAGGAATAATATAGGGGAAATCGTAGGACACCAGAACAAACCTTAGCATATAGGAATAATATAGGGAATATCGTAGGACACCAGAGCAAACCTTAGCATATAGGAATAATATAGGGAACATCGTATGACACCAGAACAAACCTTAGCATATAGGAATAATATAGGGAATATCGTAGGACACCAGAACAAACCTTAGCATATAGGAATAATATAGGGAATATCGTAGGGCACCAGAGCAAACCTTAGCATATAGGAATAATATGGGGGAATATCGTCGGACGCCAGAGCAAACCTTAGCATATAGGAATAATATAGGGGAAATCGTAGGACCCCAGGACAAACTCATTAGGCATCATGGCAATGGCCCGCCATGCATCCATGAATTTCAAGCCCTGCTGAAGACAATACACTTTGTTGAAGTCCAGTGAATCAACTGGAAATCTGGACAAAACTACATGTGCTACAAGATGTTTAGAGATATTAAGTTTTGATGGTTTGCCTTAGTTGCATTAATTTCATAAGAGACTTCTGAGGCAAAACCAATTGTGAATTTTTGCAGCAGTAGAAAAGATTTCACGGTGCTTCTTTTGTAAAGTAATGAGTGACTTGAAAGGATTTCACTGGACTTGTGTCAACAACGTTCATCAGGTGATAACACGATACTAAACTTCTAGAAAACACAACACCATGTTTTATTAGCTCCGCTGTCGACTTTGTCGAGCGGAGCTTATCATATGAGTGATTGTCCTTCGTCCATGTCAATGTTTTACTTTTTCGACTTCTTCTTGAAAACTACAAGCCTGAATGCTTTGATACTTGGTGTATATGTACCTTGGGTAGACCTCTCTCAGATTTGTTCATTTCATGATCATATCTTCAATTCTCTAATTTTGGTGAATATTTTTGTCATTTTTGGTAAAAAGTGATATTTTCGACTTCTTGTTAAAAACCGCAAGTCCAATTGCTTTGATATTGCATATATAGGTACTACATGTGGATCTCTCTCAGATTTGTTCATTTTGTAATGATATCTTTACTAGTTCCCTAATTTTGGTGAATATTTTTGGTAAAAAGTGATATTTTCGACTTCTTGTTAAAAACCGCAAGTCCAATTGCTTTGATATTACATATATAGGTACTACATGTGGATCTCTCTCAGATTTGTTCATTTTGTAATGATATCTTTAGTTCTCTAACTTTAATGAATATTTTTGTCGTTTTTGGTAAAAAGTGATATTTTCAACTTCTTGTTAAAAACCGCAAGTCCAATTGCTTTGATATTACATATACAGATACCACATGTGGACCTCTCTCAGATTTGTTCATTTTGTAATGATATCTTCAATTCTCTAATTTGGTGAATATTTTTGTCATTTTTGGTAAAAAATGATATTTTTATCTTGTTAAAAACCGCAAGTCCAATTGCTTTGATATTACATATATAGGTACTACATGTGGACCTCTCTCAGCTTTGTTCATTTTGTAATGATATCTTTAATTCTCTAATTTTGGTGAATATTTTTGTCATTTTTGGTAAAAAGTTTTTCTTCTTGTTAAAAATCATTTATGGTGAAAAATGATATTTTTGAATTCTTGTTGAAAACAGCAAGTCCCATTGCATTGATACTATGCATATTGTTCATTTTCTAATGATATCTTCTGTTCATAATTGAAATGTGCAATTGCTAACAGCGGAGCTATCTCAGCCGAGAGGCTCCTTGTTTCAGACAGGTTGTATTTTGTGCTCATTTTGTTCTTGTTTTTAATTTGACAGAATCCGTTCGGCAAAGTTGTGGGTTATCATTAGACAGAGCCAAGCTGACAGAATATGATAAATTAGTGATGGCGTTACAAGGAGGTTTACCCAATGAAGTGGACTTTGCTATCAATGTATGCACACTGTTATCCAATGAAAGTAGACATGTTTTACATCTTGAGAAAACGCCGGCTGTCATTGATCTCTTACTTGCACATGTTGGTATTTTCAATGAAGGTGAGTGACCTAGATATCCAAGTCTAACTTAAAAATAAAAGTTACCTGTCTACTGGACAGCAGAGTCCCTATCATACATGTAATATAAAAATTGAAACAATTAATTGTATTAATTCCAACTGCCAAGCATAGGTGGACAGGTTTGAATTTCACTTCCTGGTATTACTACAAGCACCTTCGCGGGTGAATTCTTCTGATATCCCCTGAAACTACATCATAGAGCTCTCCTTTGTGATTTTACCTTGTTCGACCATGTGTCATAATATTAGACACACATCATTTTAATGATAAAACTTTGTGGTTGAAATACCTAATTAGCATAATTACATTTTCTGATTAGGTATTGTTAACTATTGTGAATTGTACCATGAAGAATGGAAACCAAGGTCTAATCGGGATTATCAACAGTTTTGGTGGGATACAGTGCAAGATGTAGCTATTCAAGAAATCATTGATCACAATCAATCTAAAAATAGTAAGTATGTCTGTGTGTGTGTATCTGCGTCTTTAGAAGATTTGCCAATGTAAAGACAGAATTTTATATGGGATACCAATACAAAAAGATGGTCACACAGACACAGAATATTCAGGGATGAGAATTTTCCGCAGATTTCTAAGCCCCAGGGATATATTTTCTGAAACCTCTAAATCCAAAGAGAAAATTTTAAGTGGGGTAAGAAAACAAATCTTGTTCATTCACCGGAAGTAAACATGCTGTCGGGTCGGCAGCGAGAGGCCTGTATCAGTGAATGGTCGAAGGGAGACACCTCGGAATGTTCGCGACTCTTTTCAGCTGTGCAATCGTAAAATCCGAAGTGGTTTCGAAGTGTTCAAAGTAATATGTAACGATTAACATGATTGGCTGTGTTTTTTCTGACGGGCCAATCAGTGAAGAGCGTTTTCATTTTTCTTTTCACCAATGACGCCATTTTATTGTTTCAATTGTTACCTGCGTTGAATCGTTGTTTACAAGTTTCATGCAGTGATAATGGTGAAATTATTTACAAAAGACAACGAGTCAGCTGTGCGAGAGATCGATAAAGACATTAGGAGCAAATTTCATTGGGCACGGCCCGGGGGCATGGCTCGACAAGAAAGTGATTTTGACCGTACGAACCAGGAAGAAAAATTAAGTGGTAACTGAACAAGCCTGTAGGCTGGTTGGTGATCCGCTCTGCTAAAAAAACAAGCAACATGTTTTCGGCTATTTGAACAGGAAACTAACGTCGGTTTATAACTAAATGGGCCCTGTATACGAAGTTCGCAAGTCTTTTAGAAGTCACTTTACTTTATTACTAGGACGTATTCTGCTTATTATTTCCAACCGTTTTGCGATAGTATTTTCTAGAATTAAGGCAGCATTTACAGTTCATTCAAAGTTGCGTTGGGATTACATCGTAACAGTGTAATAATGTAGACGCCGGTGATCTCTTACCAGTGCGCAACATAGCCAAAATAAAAAGCATAATCATTTGAACACTGCTATTACAAGACTGGTAGAAGGTAATAAATTTGGGGCGAAAGTATTCATGCTGTCATGGCAGTGGTCAGTATGAACAAAATCCAAAAAAAATCACAGAGGAGTTAAAAGCAGTTGCTGGTGAAAAGTTAGCCCAATTTTGAGGTAAATTTTCTCGGTACTGAAAATATACAGTAAATTTTGCCCACACTGAGTAGAATGAGCTGTATGTCCGTGCATTTTAATCCTAGAATTGTAGGGCGAGATACAATTGGCACGAAGGTATCCAAAAAAATAAGTTTTTTGGCTGCTGCCA